ACCTCATATATAATGATGGTAAAAGCAATATATACATTTAATATTTTTTTCCCATACAAATTAAGGTCTTGTATAATGATTCATGTAGATATAGTTGTTGATTCTTTAGTAATTGACTAAGATATTGACCAACACTATCCTTAATTTTTTTATCAATTTTTATTATTTATCATGCCTAATTACTAAGAATACTAATACTTTCAATTAAAAAGTGTCAAATGCTATAATTTTTATAATTTATAACTATTATTTATATATTTCAAGCAATATTTTATGTTTATTTAAAATTTATTGAAAAATAAACTAAATATACTTAATATTTTCCTTGGAGATTCGAACTCGAAATCCAAAAACGAGAACAATCGCCATTGCGACCGAAGCCATTTAACAGCCTCGTCCATTTCACCACCTGTGAAAAGTGATTGATTTTGGTACATGTTTGAACAATATCTTCACATACCTCCCTCGCCATTTAACTTGTAAAAAACCCCATATGCACCCTTCGGATTCGAACCAGCCTCCTTCTGATTAGAATCTAGTTTAGCGCTCCAACCGTCTCGGCCACGGCGACGAAGAGTTTCGCCTGCTAATACTGGAAGGACATTCTTCGACGACTGACCATCATGATTCAAGTCAAGGTCACAGGGGGATGATATGAAAAAATTAAATTTTCACCTAGGGGGTTGAAAGTGGGCTCATTCGATTCTGCTGGTCCTTGCGAATTTCAAGCGGGGGGTTACAGGGGGGAAAATTTTGTCCGTTTTTCGCTCAGGAGAGCAGAAAATCGACTTTTTGTAAATTTTACGGTTTTTCTATGGGAATTTTTGGGGAGATTTTGTGCTGACCTTGTCGTGGTCAAGGTCAAGGTCAAGGTTACCTTGAAAACGCAAAAATTTTTCAAAGGCGTTTTCAAGGTAACCTTGACCTTGACCACGACAAGGTCAGCACAAAATCTCCCAAAAATTCCCATAGAAAAACCGTAAAATTTACAAAAGTCGATTTTCTGCTCTCCTGAGCAAAAAACGGACAAATTTTCCCCCCTGTAAACCCCCTCGAAATTCGCAAGGACCAGCAGAATCGAATGAGCCCACTTTCAACCCCTAGGTGAAAATTTGATTTTTTTTATATCATCCCCCTGTGACCTTGACTTGAATCATGATGGTCAGTCGTCGAAGAATGTCCTTCCAGTATTAGCAGGCGGAAACTCTTCGTCGCCGTGGCCGAGACGGTTGGAGCGCTAAACTAGACTCTAATCAGAAGGAGGCTGGTTCGAATCGAAGGGTGCATATGGGGTTTTTTAACAAGTAAATGGCGAGGGAGGTATGTGAAGATATTGTTCACACATGTACCAAATCAATCAATTGTACACCAAATGAAGGAGGTCGTTAAATGGCTTCGGTTGCAATGGCAATCGTTCCTGTTTTGGGTTTCAAGTTCTAATCCAGAAGCAAATTTATTGAGAAATTCAAATGAACATACAAACTTCTTCAAGTTTGACTTATTAAAATAAATAATTAAAAATCCATGTTATTTATGGTAAAATTGGTGTAATAAATAAGTTGAAAAGCCATTTCAGATTTTTTAGCATAATTCGTAACTATTATTTATATATTATGAGTAGTATGTGCATATAGCACACGCTTTGAAATACTGCTTTTGTAATACTTCTGTCAGGTCTATCAGACCTCATTAGTCGTATCTTTTCTTGGTGTAGTGGTCGTCGTCACATCACTGGTCGCCACATCTTGATTCTTGGGATTGCTGACTATCGGAAGTAGAAGGAAGGTAAGTTATAGTAATCATTATTATATTGTCTAGGATAGTAATTGTCAAAAGCATGATTTTTATTGTGTACTGTAATTTTTTAAAAAAAAATCTGTATACCCTCCCCAATTATAATAATGTACTTGAAATCGCTATATATATCGCTTTATTACGCTATTAGATATATAATTATGGTCTCGGTTTTGAAGAAATATCAATATATACATTTATATATCCAATTTCCATACAAACTAAAGGCAGCTAGGCCATTTATAAGCATGTGTAAATCCATATATAAATCCGTGGATAGTAGTCCATGGTTTCAACAGTATACATATGAATACCTGTATATAAAATTCCTATAAGATTCCCATAGCACATGAGTACTAAATTTGATTGAAAGTCCTTGCGCTTATATAACCTGAAATACTCCATATATACGCATATATATTATAATTGTAATTTATTTATATGCAATGCACATAAAGTTTATAATGAAAGAATGAATCAATTTATTTATACTTTTATTTATATAATTATAAATTTATTTAAATAAAATATAAAATATTGAATGAGAATAAATAGCCAAATCGAGTTTAACATATATAAATTATAAAAAAATTAAAATATTTAAAAAATGTCATTTTCGGTACAAAAAAACAGTTCTTATTTCAAAAAATTATCATAAATCTAATTTTTTCTAAGTTTTTTTGAAAAATATTTTTTTTAAGAATTCATTTTTCGGCACCAGAAGTTTCAGCAATTTTGAAGCACGATGTCATGCAGCATCTGTAAATAAGATCATATATCATAAGTAGGCAGTATTAATATTTGGAATTAATTTGGACAATGGCAGTATGATGTAACAGATTAATTATTGAAAATAAATAAACAATTATTACTGACATACGAATTTCAAATCACAGTAGAAACTCGTTTATCCGGCCGGAATTCATGCAAACCAAATTAAATTTATTACGTACTTATTTCACGGTTAAAAAATGCAAATTACCAAACAGATATTGTAAACAAATTATTCGTGCATAGGTATTTAAATATTTTATTTCATGATTAATGCTTAATTTAATTGTAGGAAAATATGTATGTAATACATACATGTGTTAATTTCTTAATAAACATAGATTTTTGTTGATATCTATCCATGAACTTGATATCGAATTTCCCGTAGGTAAGCGGTTAAGAGCGATGAGATTTGATTCGAAGGTCCTGGGTTCGATACCCACTTCGAGCAGCATGTTGTGGCAACGATTTTTACTTGGAAATATAGATAGCAGCATGTTATCAAGTGGAAATGACCCACACCCGACGTTGCTGCACCAATAAAAATATTAAACAAATTGTAACACTAATATGTAGTACAAAGATGTGACAGCTATTTGGGTTGCCATCTGTCAAACAGACTAGTATTAAGTCAAAATCGGCACAACAGCTTATAGGAATATTAGGTTCTCATTGCTGTTCAAAAATAATTAAAAAAAAACAGCCGGTACAGTAGTAGATTGTTTTGAAATCGGTGCCGTCCCGTAAGGGTTAAGTCGAAAATTAATACAACAGCTTATAGAACTATTAGATTCTGATTGCTGTTAAGAGCGACGGGACTTGTTTCAGAGGTCCCTGGTTCGATACCCACTTCGAGCAGCCTGTTGTCAGACAGCATTGACAATGATTTTCACTTGGAAATATAGATAGTAATATATTTCCAAGAGAAAATAGCACTCACCTCACCCGGCATTGCTGCATCATTAAAAATATTCGCCCTATTACAGAAATTGTAATAATAATATATCATACAGAGATGTGACAACTGATTGGGTTGCCATCTGTCAAACAGACTAGTATTAAGTCTAAATCGGCACAACAGCTTATAGGTGTATTAGGTTCTGATTGCTGTTCAAAAATAATTAAAAAAAAACAGCCGGTACAGTAGACTGTTTTGAAATCGGTACCGTCCCGTAAAAAGATGTAATGATAATGAAGTAATCGATGAACAATTATTATTGTCATAACAATTTCAAATTATCGATATTTAAAATACAATTCTTTGCCATTGATAAGATAGTCAACTAGAAGGGGATAACGGCGCCCTTGTCGCACGGCCTCACTCATTATAGAACTATTAGATTCTGATTGCTGTTCAGAAATAACAAAAAAAAAGATGTAATGAAAATGAAGTAATCAATGAACAATTATTATTGTCATACCAATTTCAAATTATCGATATTTAAAATACAATTCTTTGCCATTGATAAAATAGTCAACTAGAAGGGGATAACGGCGCCCTTGTCGCACGGCCTCACTCATTATAGAACTATTAGATTCTGATTGCTGTTCAGAAATAACAAAAAAAAAGATGTAATGATAATGAAGTAATCGATGAACAATTATTATTGTCATACCAATTTCAAATTATCGATATTTAAAATACAATTCTTTGCCATTGATAAAATAGTCAACTAGAAGGGGATAACGGCGCCCTTGTCGCACGGCCTCACTCATTATAGAACTATTAGATTCTGATTGCTGTTCAGAAATAACAAAAAAAAAAGATGTAATGATAATGAAGTAATCGATGAACAATTATTATTGTCATACCAATTTCAAATTATCAATATTTAAAATACAATTCTTTGCCATTGATAAGATAGTCAACTGGAAGGGGATGATGGCGCCCTTGTCGCACGGCCCTACTCCGTCCTGCCGCAGGAGTGAGGCCGAAATCAGTCTAGCCCTTCGCTTCGTTGTGAGCGGTCGCCGGTCGGGAGCCTATAGGTGAGCACGTGTTTCGTTAAAAATAAAATATATTAAAAAAGTTAAATATATTATATGAGTTCTATATATCGATTTGATTAACTATGATTCTGTTGTGATGTGCTAGTAACAATAATTATTTATCAAAGTGTGAACAATTAAAATTTGTGCATAATAGTGATTTTTTGATCAGTGATTTTTCGGAACGATTGTGATGTTAAGTGGTTCTGTTTGTTCGGATCAAATTGAGATTTAATTGTTCTTCCAGTTTAAAGGTAGGATTTAGATTTTTTTGTAATTGATTTGTTTTTTTTTAATGATATATATTGAGAATATAATATTATAATCGACTAATTTTTATTTATGAGCTAGATGTGGTTATTTTACAAATACTTATAAATAACTAGGAATGTCGATTAACCATGTGCTTAACAAGTAATTTTCTACTCATCTTTCGCCATTGCATACATTGTGATATCATCAAAGGCTATTTAAGAAAATATGAAACTTTGGTTTAGTAACAAATAGTCCTTTTATTTTTTCAAAATTTCCATAACAAAAGTACCTAATAAAAGTACTGAAGTCTGCATGGACGCTTCGGAGGCGTGCAGATACCGTTAAATAATTGTTTTATTTTTAGAAAATTGCACAACGCAATTAAATGCGAAGAAATTCATGCAAATATCATATTTTGATCAATGAATGCTATAGCATCTACGTCAAGTATTACGTTTCTTACGGAAAAAATAAGATAATGCAAAATTACTATAGATGTAATAGGTTTAATAATTACAAAAACGTAAGGTTATATAAAATTAAATTCAAAATAATTGAGTTTAAGATTTGGATGGTGTAGCATTCATATAATTCTGCATCTCAATGAACATGAACGCATTGTATATTATTTTTTATTATATAATTAAGTAGAAATTTATTCAACGCAATTATCATGTTTTAATCATTAAATGCTATAGCATCCACGTCAAATGTTACATTTTACAAAATGTGTTTACCCAAGCTAGAAAAAAGATAAGATATTGCAAAAATACTATGAGTATAATAGGTTTAATAATTACAAAATCTTAAGGTTATATAAAATTAAATTTGAATTAATTGACTTTAAAATTTAAATGCTATAGCATTCATATCATTCTGCATCACAATGCAAATGAACGCATTGTATATTATATTATTTTTGATTAAATAATTGATTTGAATAAAATGAATCTCAGTATAAATTTTACATGAATTCTAAAATGCAGTTATTGATAAAGTAGTTATGTAATTTATTGAAAAAGTCGAGTAATATCATTGATGGCAATAGTTATAATTTTATATTTATAAAAGTATAAACCATAAAATTATGAAATACAAAATAAAAATTAAATTTGAATAAGAAAAAGTATTATATAAAAAGTATTATAAATAAGTAATAAATAAATCAAATAATTATTTTGATTTAATTACTTTTATCTATAAAATATTTGTATTAAAAAAGTACAAATAGATTATTTACCAAAATGCAAGAATTACTAACTTCTTGCTAGTATTATATAAAATTATAATTAATTAATAATCAAAATAAATATTTAATTATTTATTAATTATTTATAATTTAATATAATAATAGCTTGAAGTTGGAAGTTCATGCATTTTAGTAGAAGAATCTGTTAAAAGTATTTTTAATACAAAGATTTTATAGATAAAAGTAATTGAATCAGAATAATTATTCATTACTTATTTATAATTGAATATAATATTAGCTAGAAGTTCGAAATTCATGCTTTTTAGTAAAAAAAATCTATCAATAGTATTTTTAATACAAATATTTTATAGATACAATGATTGAATCAAAATAATTATTTATTATTTATAATATTATTTAATATTTTTCCTTATTTCAATTTTAATTTTTATTTCGTATTTTATAATTTTAAAATTTATACTTTTATAAATTTAAAATACTTAAATTAAAGATAATTGTTCAAAAGTATTTTCATAATTCAATAAACTATTGCCATCAATGATATTACTTGACTTTTTCTATAAATTACATAACTACTTTATAAAGAACTGAATTTTGGAATTCATGTAAAATTTATACTGAGATTCATATCACAATACTTAATTATATAATCAAAAATAATATACAATGCATTCAATTTCATTGTGATGCAAAATGATATGAATGCTTTACCATTCAATTTTCAATTATTATGATATGAATGGTATACCAAGTCAATTATTTTGAATTTTTATATAATCTTAAGTTTTTTGCAATTATTAAACCTATATTTTTGCATTATCTTATATTTTCGCTAGCTTGGGTAAGCACATTTCGCAAAATAGAAGCGTTATACTTGACGTGGATGCTATAGCATTCATCGTATATAACGAATAAAATACGATAACCTGGCTATTCTTACACATCAAGTTTTGGATATCACAAGCAATTTAAAAATTTAGCATCTCTAAATTTTTGTACCTTTTTTATGGAACTTTTTTGGATATATATATCATGGTCTTATAGATCTTACTGAAATATTACTACAAGTAGTTAAATTTTAAAAAATTATCAGTTTGAGAGAATCAGTAGTTTTTTGGCGTTTGTTTAAATTAAAATTAGACGATTTACTTGGTATAACGATGGAGTAATTGGTCCTAATTAACATACTAAACCATTAAAGTCCTACGGAAACTGGTTCAATTATAAAAATTATTGATTTGTGACAATTTGCTTTTAGAAAATACTCCGAGTTAACGTGTTCGTTAGTTTTCAAATATGTGTAATAAATCCACTCGGAATACTTTTAATCACTCATAAATTAATTTTTTTATTGATTAAGTCGATTATATACACATATTGGTAAGTTCATGTAACTTGCCTCAGGGCAAAATACCAATACCAACTAGTATTTTTTTTTTTTACTTTGAATACGATTACATTAGTCATATACACTTTATCGATCAATTATACAATTTTATGTTATTGGATTGGATATAAGTGTGAATCGCATCTTTTTTGTACCTTGACAAAACTTTTACTGCCTGCAAACGTATTAAATACAATCCATCGAATTATTTTTTGTTACAATAATTATAAATAATAATCGTTCAAATATTATTAATTTGTAAATAACAATCGTTCCCAAATTAGCACTTGTAAATAATTTCTTTTACAATGACTTGCAAGAATTCGGTCAGTCATCCTCCTCGGCTAAATCTAAAAAATGTACTAAACGAAATACAAATTCTTTACAAACAATTTAATGTTTTCGAGAGGCGTTTTCAAAAAGTTTTCGACTGAAATGAGAAAGTTGCGAATTAATTCGTTGCTTTGGTGCGTTTCCTATGTAACAAAGTTTTTGCGTTGGAGCTAAGAAATTCCTTCATAGAACAAGTTATAAGCAAACATTTCCTTCCGACAGTTGGTTTATGCTATTTCATTGTACCTATCTACTTTGGCATCCTTACTATTTTCAACTACATATATGAATACTGGAACCAAGTCCTCATAATATATACATACTGTAACATGAGAAACTAAAAACATATGTTATATACCTACTAGGGCCACAAGTAGGAATAATCAAAACTGCATTAGATGTAATATTTTTTCTAAGTTTTGTACTCGATTTCATACATTTTTTCATTTTTTACTTCCCATAGTACAATTTATAGTGCCTCTTTATTAATTTATAATTTCACTATAGGACACCAGCAAATTTTTTGGTAGTACTTATTAGTGTCTAAATTTGAACCCATATTGATTAGGCGTCCGAGTATTATATGGTAAGTTATAGTAATCGCAAAAGAATCAAAAATGCAAATTTTGATATATCTTTACGTTTCAAAAATTTGTATCCGCCACACACACATACACACACACGCACACATACACACATAGATACATTTTTTCTAAGGTATGCCAAAATGTTCAAAAACCTCTGAAACGAAAAGATGTATAAAAAAATTAACTTTCGATTTTTTTGCGATTACTATTCTCACCGGACAATTAATTATTACATATCTATACGTTTCAATACCTTCTGAACATTTTGGATACCTTAGAAAAAAATGGATGTGCCAATGTGATGACCGAAAAATTGTGACGATTTTACCAAAGCTCTAGGTTGCACCTAAATGTTCATTAAACATTAAACATTTTTTTTTATAATTGTTAGAATTAATACTATCACCCCGTTTTGGCTTGAGGTTGAGTTCCGGGACACCCTGTATATATATATATATTACATTATATTTTTTCGTACATTATTTAAAACAATATTAAACCCGAAACTTACGTTAACCTTAATAAATGTAACAATTCTTTAAATTTATTATCCTATTTCCTACCTTGCAAGGATTTTAACAGAAAATTACCTCTCGGCCAGAGCTACCGTTGGTTATAATAAAGTAAAGAAAAAAAAGGGAAAAATTAATAACCACGTCATTAAATACTTATTGTTAAGAAAACTCATAACTTCCACAAGCGCACGAGCGATTTTCATGTTTCCGAGCAGTTATGGGCAACAACAAGAAAACAAAAACAGGCCCCATGTAATTGTTTCACATTGTAACGATTATTAATAAACGTATGTTCGGACACTAGTTGGAAACGTGATGAAAAATCCATATTTTGAACGAAAATACACATTTCCTCATTGTATATATATAAACGCCCTAAACTGCCCTAAAGCAAATCTGTTAGCTGTTTGAAACCCTAACTCAGATCGAGGAATTTTCCATCGAAAGTCAAAAAAGAAAACTGCATTAGACATTTTGTTAAATATCATCGAAATTTGATATTTAACAAACCATTCTTTTTGTAATCGATTCAAGTACATTTGTCAAGTAATTACGATAAAAAAAATAGTAAGTGGTGTTTTGAAAGTTACATGAACTTCCCAACATTTGTAAATAATGGACTTAATAAGTTTTTGGTTTCTCTTTGTGCAATTATTATTTTTGAGTTTCTGAAAATTGAAAAATAAACTAGTGCGTGGTATCGCGCCTTAAGA